CATATGTTCTTTTGAAGAGTCGTGACTGCTGATGGTGAGGTATTCTTGAAGATAGTGCAGTGACCATCGGAATGCTGAATTGGGTCTGAGCTTATGTTCCAAACTCCATCAACCCATGATAAACTTGGGAACATTGATTGTTCAATTTGCAACTTTTTTTGATGTAATTCTTTGATAGCAATTGTTAGCAAATGTTGTGTTAGATTAGATTTTGTTAGTGTGCGAAGCTTCGTGCACATTAACTCTTTTTTTTTCTGTAATTGCCTGTGTAGGTTTGGGTAAGCCTTGAGTAAAGAAATTTGCCTGGATCATGCCTGTATGTGCTGGCTAGTTTCTTTCAATGTCTTCTTCATAACGATTATGGTGTTTTCAGCTTCTTCCTGGCGCTGGCGCTGTCGAAATAGAATTAGCTCGTCAAATCGAGTCCTTCGGTGAAAAGTGTTCAGGGCTGGAAGCAGTATGCTATCAAGAAGTTCGCGTATGCCCTTGAAACCCTGCCAAAATGTCTGGCTGAGAACGCAGGCATCAATGTATGTTTGTTGAATTAATTTCCGGATCTTATTAGTGCCCACTTCATTTTTACCTTGAATTTTGTCTGAAGGCTACGGATATCCTTACCAAACTCAACGCCGCTCATGAATCTGGACAACAAAATGCCGGCATTGATATTTGGAAGCATGGTACATTTTTTTGAACATGCATCTACTACTTATTTCTACTCTTATTTTTCTTTCTAGAAATCATGGATGCTGGAGAGAACTGTATCTTTGACCTATTTGCTGGTAAGAAACTCGCTATAAAACTTGCCACTGATGCTGCTGCTACGATTCTTAAAGTTGACCAGGTGAGTTCTCAACATCTCTTTGGTATCTGTGTTTCTCCTAGGACAGGAGTTCTCAATCCATTGTTATACAATTGTCCTACTCGTAATACATTACTTTATTCGTAGATAATAATTGCGAAACAAGCCACGGGTGGACCCAAACCTCGCGGACCGAAACCACAGGACGAGGATGACGAAGGAATGGCATAAGTGTTCTCATGCAGTTGTAGCCTGCTACATTTATAGCAGATATTGTTCTCATACTGATGGTTTTAATTCCCACATGGACACTAAAGTTTAAAGTCTTGATGGTCGAAGATTGTTGGAAAATTGATGGACTAATGATCTTAAAACTCGATCTGCCTGCCGTTTGTTATTGTCTAAGGTTTGGTTCAGGTCCTCTCTTACTGTTGGATCAAACATTTGCTTGCTTGTTATGTTATGTTCTCAGTCATTTGTTGCCACAACATAATAAACTTTTAATTGAAACTGCCTTGCTATTAGCTGAATAGGTTGTAGTACTCATTTTTACTGACCACGTTCTCATCGGTTGTTTTGGTGTGGTTCTCATCTTTTGGAGTTTTAATATGTAGATCTAACCGATTGCTTCGTTGCTGAGGTAATGTAGTAGTTGAAAGTCACGGAAAATGGATAATATCTTGAAAATTGGAGTTTTAGAAGGGACTACATACAGGATGAGGTTCATTAGTGCAAAACAAAAGTATTTTGTACGTAATCTTTAAAAAAAACGTGTGAAAATTTGAGTAGAAGGTTTTTACTCAATGTTTCACATATAAGGATCGGTTTTCGAGGCACCTGTCACGTGTTAGGCTTTTCGCAGGATTTTTCGAAGAGGTGCGAAACGTGCACAGGAGCGTTTCTTATTGAGCAGTGATAATCGGAACGGGACCCATTCCCTAGGAGCTGCTTAGTAGTGACCGCATGTATGTTCTTTTCAAGGTTTAACCTCATTTATGGATGGGGTATTTGATCATGTCCGTACCTCTTAGTGTGGTTGAATCTTCCTTCATTTCGCCACCTGTCAGTCAAGCGGTAGGCATGGGGTTTGAGACAGGAGGAAGCTCTTAGAAATAATGGATGCCGATTCAATTTGTTCGTTGAAAATGTCATCCAATTGTGGGTGACACAGTCACCCACAATTGGATGACATTTCACAGATGTGTTCAATATTTTGGTGGCACATAACATTTTTTCCTACGCTCTCGCTGACGCTCTCTCACATCACCTGTTCCATCGCGTAGTAGACAGGCGGACGAGCGTTGATGTCGCGCCTCTTTTGCGGCTTGAAAGTGCGCGATAGAGGCACTTGAAGTTTACTTGGCAATCCACTCCTTCGCGCAATCCACGCCTTTCGCTGTCGGTTACTACCTGACGCTGCTTGAAAAGCGTAGGCACAGATGCGGCAGTGGTTGCATTGCGGTTCAGTGTCATTGCATTGAGCAACTGGAGCTGAGCTCGTGAAACTTGTCCAACACGCCCCTTCTCTATTCCAAGGTGTAATCGGCTGAAATTAATGGGGTGCTTATTCGGCGTGTCATTGCGGGTTTTTCTTGCTTTCTTTTCTTTTCCAAACCACTCTCCACCTTCAACTTCTATACTGAAAGCTCTCCACGCCCTTCACGCCCTTCTTATCGCGAACCTTACCTTTCGAATGACCAAGAATTTTCAGATTTCTATAGTATTCAGACACGGAGGGTTAGAGTGAATCAGAAAATTCTATATGAATAACTTCATTTTTTACATTCCGTATCTTCCAAATCCGAATCCTCTTCCCACCTCTAATATGTATTTACAACAATATACAATTTGAAAACTTGAAGCTGCGGTTTTATTGACATTGCTAAAAAGTTGACGGAAACTGCCACAGGGATAATGTTGCCCAAACGTTCAAAGACAGTTGGCCGCGTCTGAAAGCGACGTGCTCTCTGCGTGGAAATTCTCATTGTCGTCGTGGGGTTAATGAGAGATCCAATTCATTTGTGCTTTCTAGATGTCCGCAGAGGATGCTGCTGTTGCTGCAGAGGTCTGCTCAATCATGGCGAAGGAAACAGATCACAAATCTCAATATGATGGGTTGGTTTCACGTTTTTGACGGTAAGATGCACCTGAGGTGAATAAATTGTTTCAGGCTCCTCGTCGTGATGGAGAGGATTTTTCCTACTCGAGTTACCAGTGAGGTCGACGTATTCCACTAGTGACGTTCATGAAGACAGGTTAGATCTTTGTGGTGACAAACATTCACCCTTCGGGTCTATTGACCTGTTCTATGATACTACTTTGTGGTTTCGTGCTGTTTGAAGATGAATGGTGAAATTGAGTGTCTGTGTTTTGGGTACGCGTTAAAGTGATTCACGTTGAAGACTTGTGGAGGCAGAGCCAAGCGCCAGTTTCAGATGAAAGAGCGTAATGTATTCGGGCGCGTAGTATTTTATCCTTTTTCAGTTATTGCACTTGAAACTGGCAGTCAAGTTGTGTCGAGGCAACTAATCAGTGCCATCGCACAGCGGGTGGAATCATGTCAACAGAACGAGTCTTCTATCTTGATATTAGCTGATTCCATCCTGGCAGTTCTCGATACGACTAGCCTTGCATTTGAGGAACAGGTATCTTTTAATTGATCATTATTGCGTTGCAGTAGGCAGCAAGTCTGGACAACTTCAGAAATGTGCCATTCGTGCTCGACTGGCTAGTCTTCATGAGGAAGCCGGCCGTTATGTTGAAGCAGCTGAAACCCTGAAAAAGATTTCCACAGACAGTGCACAGCGGTGAGCTTGCTCTTCTTTTCGTACAGCTCGCGTTCAGTTGCGACAACGTTTTCAAGACCTTGCTCTCCTGCTCAAAAGATGGCGCTATACCTGCGTATTGGACGCTTACTTCTGGATAGCGGTGATTACGCAGAAGCTGAACAATACGTCAATCGGGCTAGTTTGCTGCAAACTGAGAAGGATTGCGACTCATATAATGTAGAATACAAGGTATGTGAGCGTAATTGTAATGGTAGAAAAAATTTAGCTTTTGAATGAAAGATATTCTTTTAGGCGATATATGCAAGAGTGCTTGACGGCCGCCGAAAGTTCACGGATGCAGCACAGCGCTACCACGAGTTATCACTGGTCGTTGATCTACCTGAAAGTGATCAGAAAACAGCACTTTCTCGCTCAATAACATGTACAATTCTTGCTGCACCAGGTGATTTTTTGCGGCTGATATTCTTGTTGTTTTGAATGAGATGCATGTTATTTGTCTTCCCTTCTTTTCTTTGTTTTACTACCCATAATTTTGATTTGGGAAGTGGTGCTCTCGTCCGAACGCATGATTCCTTAGCGAAATTTTGAAAAAATCCCCTTCAGGCCATCCAATTTCCCATATCCCCATAATCAAAACATTGCCATCAGAACTGCTCTCAAAGGTAAAATCTGGGCTGTGCATCGGCTATGCTCAAGTCATTATGCTTCATATTCCATTCAAGTACCTGTTATTTCGAAATTCGAGGTGCTTCCGAAAAAGAACACAGAACCCATTCTTTCCTCCGTTCTGGAGAGACGCTTGAAGAGACCGGGCCAAGTGTCTAGGTGGGCCATGGCCGTATCGAGAAGTGCAAAACATACATCAGCTGAGCGGGGCCTCGCCCAGCGTGGGCTAGGCGTGCATCCAAATGGCGGTATTGAATAAAAACTTCAAATTCGATTCTGAAACAGCCTAGATCGGGAAAATGTATAAAAGTGTGCATTGATAAGCTAGATCGAATTAGGGAGACCCACCCCCGGTGGGCGGGGCGTTCTCTAAAAAAGCAGTGCTTTATGAAAAATTTCATAACTCGGTTGGGAGAAAGCCTACAGAGCAGAAAAACAATTTGGTGTAAGGGAGCAATGTCTAAGGTGTTTCCTGCATACATGACGTGGGCGGAGGCCCGCCCACAATGGGCGGAGCGTGTCCTGAAGTGTACAGCGTTTTCTACAAGTGCTCATAATTCGGTCCCGAGAAGTTTTCGAGATAGAGATGAGAAAAGGTCGATAGAGGTCAGAGAGGGAGGGGAGGTCGTGTGTCGATAGTGGGCGTAGTGTGCACAAAAGCGGCGGAGTTGGCTACCAAATTTATGACTCAGTCAAAAGTTACAGTCCGTTGATCGGGATAAAGCTGACAATTCTTAACGAAGGAGGGAAAGTCGAAAGCCGTCGCGGGCTGAGCACGCAAGGTGATGAGCGGAGCTGAAGCCCGTGGTCGCCATTTGGCCCGGGTATAACACGGAGACTGAGAAGGAAGTGGATAAAATCTCGCACAGAGGGGCAAGTCAAATATTCGTGGTGTTTAGAGCTGAGTTTGGGAGATTTGGCCGCACTCCGCATTGCCGCGGAACTGTGTTGTGCGGCTTCGGCTGGTCTGCAATAGTAGCTTATTGGTTAGTGTATTTTTCATTCGAATCTCCATGAAACCTCTTTCCATCCTACCCATTCTGATAGCGCAATCCCAATGTTGCCAGCTTGGATGAGATGGATTCCAGAAGGCTGGTTGCTACTTCTTAGATGTGGTGGGTGGCTCTTTGGCATTTGCTATCTCATAGCCGTTGGCAGAGCTCAAACAATCGCCAGACACCGATATTACCACATACACGCCTACACTCCGCCTACAGTCACAGTTGCTCATTGTTCTTGTAGCCCTTGCAATTAATGCCATTCACGTAACAGAGATTGGGCAGTGACCATTGGACCTTATTTTCATGCCTATCATAGTGTCCGAATGTGATTAAGAGAATCGAGCAGGCTGATGTTGGCCTGGAAAAGGATTTGGCAGATAATTCGGTACACGGTGAAGTCTGCAATGGTTTAAGGAATATCTCTCGGAAAAATCGTGATTCTATTTCACCCATAGTTCACTGGCTTGGGACCCATCGTTCACGACAAGAACGGGAAAAGCAAAAAAAATGCTTTCGTTTTGGAAAAATTCGAAAACCGAAAGGGCTGCTACGCGTTCAAAGTACCGCCGGACATCTGTCACAAATGCTGGCGACGCTTCCACTTGGTTCTTGGAGTGCCGTCACTAGAAACTCTTTCTGGCCTTTTGACTTATTGCATTCACATCTCACACTTCTACTGCATCCTATTCTATCGATCGATTTGTCTCTACTCTCCAAATCGCGCGCTTTAACCCGATTCTTTCATTGCGTCGCCTGATACGTAGCCGCCCCAAGGCGGACTTCTTTCCATGCCTCGCCTTTGGCTCCGCCCATTACCTTCGATTGTCCATAGAGTGCGGTTTTTGTAAGTTCTTTTTCTCGGAAACTGAGTCTTTGTCGGCAAAGTTTGTATGTTGTCGGATTGACGGGTTGACGGATCACGGCTTCGGATGGAATGGTCGGGGTGGTCGTATTGGGAGAGTCTCCTACAAAGAAGCATTGAAATGTGTGTATGCAAGAGCATCGCGACAACGTAGGATGAGAGAGACAAGTGAAGTCTCAACTGCATTACGACCACCAATTCTGCGCACTAGCTCAGAACAGAGTGAAGCGGCTTTCGAAATGCAGTTAGAAGACAACACGGAACACCCATCTGCACTAGAAATGCTCGCAAGCGTACATAGACTAATGCAGAACTGAGCCGATATGAGCTAAATTCAATAATGCCTAGCCGTGAGGAAGAACCCATCACAAGGAACAACCTTACGGCAAATTTTTTCTCCTCCCACCTATCCTACCTCTCAAGTTGTGGCCAATTACATCCACTAAATCCTCTATCCTTCAGAAAACCAATCTACTATAGCGCCTCACCATTCACTCAACAAATTACTAATCCCACTCAACCCATGAATGCGACCCCCCTCCCAAAATCAACCACGAATACGGCCTCCTCGTTCGAATAGTGCGAGCGCACGGTTGACCCTGGAGCGCGGTGTTCATCTGACAAGGAATGGTCAATTGGTCAGTCCGGCCATTTGTAATGAGGTGTAGTCCGATGCACGCGTCTTGCGACGCTGAGCTCAAATCCGTTTTCGGTTTTTGCCGAACGATTCTCTGAACGAAGTTACGAGGGATTCTTCTCACTGTGGCTATCTCACTGTGGCGCCCTCTACATCCCCTATCCCACTTGGCACACATAAGGAAGAGCCGCAGAGCCGCTGGAGCGGTAGGTCTAATGGTCTAGTGGTTAGCGCTCTTGTTTGATGAGGTCAAGGGTTCGAATCTTTGACCATACAAACTTTGGCATTTTTCAAGGCTGCTCATACGAGCCCAGAAAGCGCTATAATTGGTTATTTTGTTATCGTTCTGTTCGTTCGTTCTGTTTTTACGCGAGCCAAGTGGGATAGGGGGATGTAGAGGGCGCCACAGTGAGATAGCCACAGTGAGAAGAATCCCTCGTAACTTCGTTCAGAGAATCGTTCGGCAAAAACCGAAAACGGATTTGAGCTCAGCGTCGCAAGACGCGTGCATCGGACTACACCTCATTACAAATGGCCGGACCGACCAATTGACCATTGACCATTCCTTGTGAGGATTTCGGCCGAGGCTCTGCTCAGTGACTTCGTCTGGGTTGTAGTGGTGTTATGTTGGAGCTACACGCTTTTTTTCCGAAACGATTGTACGTTGGCTGATGTGAGGCTGCTTTGCCTTTCCATGAGACATATTCTAAATTTAGAGACATTGCTACGGTTTCACTAGTGCTGACCATGTGTGACGATATGGTTCTGTCTCTTCCACATGTTTTTTTGCTACCACGGAAACCAATTCTACTGTAAAACTGTCACAGTTTTGGCAGGGGAGACATTTGTTTGTGTCATTTCATTTGTTCCTTGGGGTGCCGTCCTAAAAGTTTTTTTTTGATAATCTTCCTTATGACAGAAACCGCCTTATTTATACGGCACCTAATACGTGGCCGTCGCACAACCTACTTCGCACCCTCCGGCCAGTGGTCTGTCAATTGTCCACTAGGTGTTTTTTTTGGAAGCTTTTCTTGCAAGTTAGTTCTCATGCATGGGACTTTGCGCGCTGTAAGTAATGATCGCTTGACGCCTTCTATGGGGAGAAATAAATCAAGTATCCATTCACATTTTTCTGAGGTGTATTTCACCTGCACGAGGATATTCCAGGTAGAGACCTTTTAATTAACGTGACAAAAAATGAAAACTGTTCTACTGCAACGCGGATTTCGGCCCAAACTATGCAGGGAGGATGAAATGGTTTCAGAGCTGCCTTGATCGTTTTCTTCAGCTTTGTGGCCCGTACCGACCATCATCATCTTCCGTTTTCAGTGTGCAAAGTGAATCTGATACTGAAAGCTCTGCCGTCTACTACTACTGGCCGCCAAACCAAAACAGTAATGGACTCAGCGCTGGAAACGGTGTTGATATCATGGTCGCGGCGTGTCAGCCTTAGGAGCTCATCTTGTTCGCTTCACTGATTGGAAATGGTTGCCCTTCCCAATAGAAGAGATAATATGCAAGGGCGACAACTTGGCGAGAACTCCAAAAAAATTATCGCAATAGTTCTGATAATGAAACGATGGCAAAACATTTGGCCTTGGTTTATTAGAAGGGGTTTCATTCAGGTCGGGGGAGCATTGCGGTTTACGGTGCCCAACGCGATCATATCACCGGCCCGTATTGGTTACCATCTTCCAAGTCTGAGCCTTAGGGAATCGGACGAGATACCCAGTTGCGTGAGGTCTCTTCATTTTCCTGAGAGTTCTCCTTCTGTTGGATTAACCTTTAAAACTCTCCTTCCTTCAACTTACTCACAACAACTTCTTTGTGTCATTAAGTGCAAAAACAAGCACATCTCATAAAAAAATGAGGTTGGCCTTAGGTAGGCTGTACCGCAGCCCCCCCCCTCTTAATGGATGACTCCCTATTCAAGTCCAAGCTATGTTTTTCGAAAAAATCTATTTCAAGGTACTGCTCGTTCTCGAATGCTGAACACTTTGTTCAAAGATCCACGAGCGGCTGAACTGCCGTCGTTCTCACTTTTGGAAAAACTCTACCTGGATAGACTAATAAAAGCACCAGAGGTAATAGAGCGCTACAACAATCTACTGATTGCAATGAGCAGCGTTCTTTTATAGCTTGTGGAGTTTGAACGAGAGCTGCAACCGCATCAGCGAACGAATGAACATGGTCAGTCAATAGTCGAAGGCGTGATTGTGGAGCACAACATGACGGCCGTTTCAAGACTCTACAATAATATCGCACTGTCTACGCTTGCTGAGCTGTTGGGAATTTCTGCGGATAAGGTAATTTTTCCAGCATTATCATCTCTCGTAAGAGACCGCAATTCGCATTACTTAATGTGTGCGCAATGTGAATTTTTTTTTCAATATTCGCTTTTTCATTGCTGAGTCAGTTCATGTCTCTGACAGCGCCTGTGCATTCAAAAACATCGAGATGCTTCTTCCCGAACTCTTCAATTTCTCACATGGATTTTTCTCTTAAACCCGACCACAGTGACCCGAACCAGAAGCAGTAGCTTGAGCATAACCCGTACGCGTGGGAAATTCAGCCACAATGCTGTAGTGGATGAGGCTCAAACAGATGGGAGTGGTACGTTAAACGCCACGGTTTGATTGCTAATCACATGCGGCCCATGCTGGACGATATGATCCGAACGCACGCGTAGGCAAGATCCTGACTAAATACCCAGGGAAGCCTTTTAAGTATCGTATCACCTCCTTCCTTTTAGGGCGGAAGTGGTGTAATGGCAAGTGGTGCTGCTTACCGCTTGCCGCCCGGGGATTGAATCTTTGAATCGCCCGGGCGAACCAAGCATTCCATTCCTCCGAGGTTGGTTGATTGGTACCAGACCTTTATGGGAGGATAGAAATACTGACGCATACATCGATGCCTCCCCGCCACGCTCATCTACTGTACTAACAGCACTCGCACTTCAAAGCGCCCCTCTCTACCCGAATATCGCCTCACAACACTGCAACAGCTCGAATGCTGTCGCGCCCGCACTCCCAAAAAGGACATTCGACCCCCCCAACGGCAAGCGCATTCTTGCCCTTTGCTTTATCCATCTCCTTTCCCCAGTCTGCGTCCAGTTCACATTGTATTGATTAAATTATCACATTATACCGTACCTTGACAGAAGGATCCGCTGACGTCGGCGTGCGCCGATTCACGAACAACCCCTCTACCGTTTTTGAGGGCAGAAATCTGCGCGACATCAACCCCCTGCTGTCTTGCCCCAGTCCAACGTATGTGATCTGCTCCTAGGCCAGCGTGCCAATCCAGGGCGTAGCTGCTCCCCACTTTTCAGCGACGGCCCGTGTAGCGTGCCGCCTACCTCCACCCGTCGTGCATAAGCTGCATTAACTCACGCCACCTTCCTTGGGACTCCCAGCTGCCCCACGGTCAGCGCCGTACCTAGATTTTGGCATGTACTCTGTGCCTCCGACGCGAACCTTCACCGCCCCATTCCTCAATTTTCTTGCCCAAACGTCACCACTTCCCCCCCCTGTTAGCACCTGATCATTGGTGGGTCTGCTACACTCCCACACTCGCCGTCTTCACGATTTCAACTCTGTTTTAAAACTCCTCTCCCTCTCCGCCCCCCCTGATACGAGTGCCCATCCCTGGTGCTTACGCGGTCCAACCGTCACGCGTCACTTTTCTATCACCCCCACCCCGCGCGGGCACAAAGGAGTCCTTTTTTCGGGTTACTGACAGTCTTTTGATTTCTTTTTATCCATAGACGTATTGACACCTCTACTTGTGCATGATGGTATCCTGTTACGGTAGACCGTTACTATGTGGTTTACCGTATGACCGCGCCGGGTAGGTCTAACTGTGTGGTCCGCCTGGACCCTCCTTGACCTACATACACACTCGTACCTAATCTACCATTTGAGCGGGAGCCCCCTCTATAAATAGCCCCCCCCCAGACAGTACTAGTTACTTCTCTTCTGGTTATTCTGTCGCTGCCTACACTCTCGTCTGTACGGGAGTCTCACTGTGTATTCACTGCTGTTAATAAAGTCGTTCTCCTCGTCTCCTCACTGACACTCCAAGGAAACCGTTAGGACCCGCTTTCCCACAAGTCAGGAGTTATTAGAAATTCCCGACTTGACCTGCCGGTTCCGAGGCTACTCGTTGATTCCGGGCTCGTGAAGAGGGGAAGCTGTCCGCTACTATCATCTTATCGTGAGAACTGCCTTCATGTTGAAATTTGATAGTTAAAAATGGTCCTAAACGAAAGCTAACTACATCCTTGGGCGAATCAAGTTAGGCAATGTCAGGCTTCTCGATTTCAGCGATTCCAGCGAATCGACAAGGATACCATTTCGTCGAGAGTTGCCACTTTCCCATGCTCCTGAGTCGCTGGAATCATTGAAATAACTGACTTTTTTTGATTTATTTATTTATTTATTTATTTACTGTTGCCGTAATATTCACAATGAGGAGATAGTAAGGTACATGTTTACAGTAAAAAAAAGTCATAATAGCATGATACAAAAGAATAATTAGGGGAGGGGGGAATGGGGCCAAGGGTCGGAAGGAAGAGGAAGGGCAGTGCCCCGGCCAAACACTGCAAGCCGCGGGGAGGGATCGCGGCTCCGGATACCAGCTTAGTAGGTCCGCCAACCTCAACCGAAGACCCAAGACGGTACGGAGTGGGCTTATTGGGAACCGAAGAGGTATTAAAAAATAATTATTTACAGTATAGTTGACGGGTCATAAAAAGCGAGATAGTATAATATTTTTTACAGTTTAGACAGACTTTTGCCTTTAGTACTAGCTCAATGTTCAACAGTGTACGTTCATATGAGAGTCGGTGTGAAAGAATAAAATGTACAACCTGTGAGGAACATAAGCTGTATCAGGAGAAATGTGTGGTGTACAAAGTGGTGTGCCTTACTTGTAACGAATTCTTCATCGGAGAAACATCAGGCCACTACACAACACCGAAGAGCTTTACGTAGTCCACAGAAGCTACCCGAAATCCATTCTCTAGACATCGCACACTCCGCCATTCGCAGGAAGAGACCGCCCGAACTTCTCGTCTCCTATTATTCACAGAAATGTGGTGGATCCAGTCGAAAGGAAAATAAGGGAAGCGCTAGAAATAAGGACAACAGAAGCCATCGATAAATAACAAGGAGGAGGTGGAAGTGACAATGAGTCTGGTTAAACGTTTGCAGCACAATTTCCTAGTTCAGCTAGTTCAACTTGAAAGTCTGAGAAGGACTTGTGCAACAGTCGGTAGAACAGCCAACTGCACCCAATTGCCACGGCTTCTTTGCCAGATAAGGACAGACTTGTGATTTCTGAGCAATCTTTGAATTTATGGTATTATATTTCATCAATCTAACTTCTCAACATTGGTCTTCAGGCGGAAGAAATCGTTGCGCAGATGATATCCAGTGAGCGTCTAATTGGACACATCGACCAGCTGGAAGGATTTGTTCATTTTGAACGTATGTCGAATATTTCTGCTATGACCTCCATAACGTTTAATGCTATTTTAATTTATCTTTTTTGCCCCTCCCTTTCCGCAAGCTTGAAAGTGTTTTCGAGGGTTTCATCGGGAGTGGGTGTTTTCGTTTATAGACGTGTTTCGCGATGGTGTTGCCGCACGTTGTCACGTTATTATTATTACCAGCTTCTTCGATGCTTTGGTACAATCATGTTTTCGTTTAATGCTGGACCCAGCACCACGCATGCGTGGGGGCCTCGATGGGCGCGTAAAAGCTCTTCTGAAACAAGTTGTGTTTTGAAGCGGTTCGCTTGTCACTACGACTACTCTTGGCCGCCGTGTTGTTATCGAGTTCGAGGAGCTACATACGACTGGTTTCACTCGAGAGCATCTTGTTTACGTGTAGAAGTAGTTGTAATAATTCTGTGAAACACAGGTACTTTTACTTGTTTACAAGGAAGTTAAATTGATAATTTCCAGAGCGCGATCCGTTGAAGCTTTGGGATGAGCAAATTATGACATTCTGTCAACTGGTGAGTCCTTGCGAATCTTTGCTGTCAATGTCGCTATCACGTCTTATGACGTTCGAGCGACGTTTTTGATGAATGATTGAGTAGACCGGTAGTTTTTCTATGACCTATTGGGTAAATTCTAGCGGGAGAACAACTTAGTTGAAGTATTGGGAGAATGTTGATTCTAACAACGAGTAATCAGAGCTGTCAAATTTTCCCTCGGTCCTTGAAAGGGTGTTGGTCAAAAGGAACACGTTACGGCGACGCGGGGAAGAGCTGCGGCAAATAGCGTCCCTGATCAGAATATGTGCTGCAGCCCACTGTCATGATGAGTCTAAACGCCGCCCGGTTCTGCTCGGCACCGCAATATCGGTCTCGTTTAATTATAACCTGGAAGAAATGCGCAAACATCGACCGTTCTGACTAGCATGGACGTCCATATGAATTATTACATGAATAAATATACGGTTGGTTCCTGCAAAGTTTTGATTTGGGAGAGCTGATTGTTAGCAATCGATTTTCATTGGACCTCTTTGGTTTGAAGCACGTCACGAATTGGCGTTATGGTTTCTGTTCAGTCTCGCTTTGCCCGTAGTAAATATCATGGACTTGCGATGATGTTCATACCTACTGTTGGTTGCCGGAATAGCTATTGTTTTTTCTTCTTTCACCACGAGTTCCAAGTTTATATCAATCTAACGCTCAGTAATATTTTCCCATTTCACGAATGAGACTATGCATCTAGAACTCGGAATTTTAGAATTAGGAAGGAGAGATGTCCCGTTTTGACATTTTATGCGAAGTGGTACCACGTTCAAGCGTGTGCTGAGGAGTCTTCGACGAGGGGGTGGAGGGTGTTAATAGCCGAGTTCAGCAATGGTCAGAGCATTGCATTGCCATCGGTGGCCTGCTTAGGAGTGAATGAGTCGCGCGCGCCGGATTTCGGGTGCACGGCGCATTCTGAGCTAGTTCGACCAATGAAATGCTTTTTTATTTCCCGTTCCTTCCTGCGAAGGAGACGTTTGGGTTTGAGAGACATCAAGAGGTTCTCGGAGAGAACTGGTCGAAATGACAGGAAGGATCCAATCACGATCCACACGCAAAGGAATTCAATTTTCATAAACAAGCAAATCTTCTAGTTCACAATGTTATAATATCTTTTATGATTTATTTTATTGAAAGATGATTTGGTTTTTTAGAAGCCAACGAATCTTCTTGATTAAAGGCAGCGGTTACGCTAGGTTTAAATGTGGTTTGGAGGGGAC